GATTCGGTCCCAGGACTTAACGGTCTCGCGCGCGAGCGCGTGAACACTAGACCACTGAGCCGGCATCCGACGGTGTTAATGTCTAACCTCAACCAATCCACGAAATTGTGCCACTGTCGCCGTTGTCTTCAGTAAGCTGCTATCTCAGAACAGATCTGGTTGAACTCCACTGGTCATAGCTTCTCACTAGGTCTCCCATACTACGACGAAACGGCCGTCCAGTGCTTCCAGGTTTCCCATGGTGGTCTAGCTTCAATTAAATCATGATTTCAACTATTGAAATTACTAAAATCTCCACAAAACCCATTCTGATAATAATCATTATTTGTTGACTATTACGTTTTATCATATGCGTAATCCGATTATTTTAAGTCTCGTATATTTCGTCTCATATTATTTTAATCACTGTTTGTTTCAGTTTAAAGGTCAAATTTTCATAGATTTGTGGTGTTAAATAATATGTTATAAATTTTATTTTGCATGTCTCATAAAATTCTTTTGTTGATAAATTGGTTCACTGATGTGTTTCACTATCTACATCCATACAAGTTGATTGGTCGGAGTATCAGTATATAGAATATTGTCTTTTTTACTGCAAACCGTCTTATTTAAATCAAGTAGTTTTAATTATCGATTTTGTTGTATCATGCGTATCGAAAAAGCGTCAACTGATTGCATAGTGTCAATACATTATTATCGAAGTATTTTCTGTATTTCACATGTATCATGTTTGAATAATTTCACTAATTTTATCAAATCAACCGTGTTTTGTTATACTCAGGATATGTTCTCAACTACGGATTGAACAACTAACCAGTGAAGACGTGATTAAACCAGCATAGTCAATGAATTAAACTCGAGAAAAGAATAGCTATCCATTAACCAATATTAAATATGCTCAGATCAATTTTTCCGGGATTTCAGTTTTTACAGTAACAAACGAATAGAAATGTAGAAGGTTTTAATCTTACTAAAAACCTGAAAAAATGGAGTTGTTACTGAATTTTAACAAAAAATGACATACAAACTAACCAAAGATTAATAGTTATAAAAATGTACTGAATAACATTTATAATTCAGAAAATGTAATCAGACAGAGTATGGTAATGCGAACAAAGAGAACTAAAACAAAGAGTATTGAACGAACAGTATTAAAGTGATTGATTGTTCTGAATAACTTCTTTATCAGACGCAACAGTTATCAGTCCAAAAGGATTATTAATTTATTTTGTATTGTTTGTTTGAATTTTCCCATTGATATTTAGGACTGTAATTGATTAGTCTCTTATTGGCGTATATGCATGTTTCGATATTGCCTTAAGTCATAAGCATTATAAGCAAAGATGGATGGTGGCTAGCAGTGGACTAACACTTCACTATATTACACAAGCAAGTGGCTATCAGGACACAGTAGCTAAGTGGATAACGCGATGCCGTTTGAAGTGAGCAGTACTGGGTTTGAGTCCCAGAGTGAATAATAATTCTGGGATGCAGGTACATCCAGGTGACGAGACCCAAATAAGGCGAAACGCGAGTCCTGGATTCCACTGCTAACCACCATCGATCTTTGCTTAAAATGATCATTATTGTATCATAATAGATAAGACATTAAAGTTGAATTAATCTAAGATGCTATCAATAAGTGCATTCTAAAACTCTATTCCATAGGAACTCCTAATTTGAAAAAGTTAACAGTTGGAAAAAAAAGATTAGAATCTTCGGTACAAGAAATGAATTAGCAAGTTTAGTGCACATCATTCAGATTAATGTATGCCTATATCGACTAATTTAGTTGATATAAAACGATAAATGTATCCTAATAATAAAATTAAATGATACAACGATAAACTCATTACTTGTTGTATACTAACGAATGATAGACAGGTTATGTTTAATTTTATAATTGCATAGTCAAGAGTTGCATAGCCAGGTCATCAGGACATTAATTTAGGCAACAATAAAAGTTTATTAGGGGCACAGTACTAGACGTATGTCAAAATTTCTATTCAGTTCATCTGATGGTTTATCAGTAATATATTACGCTACTAATATAAATTAACCTTCATTTACAACTATGTTAGTCTTTTGTATTTACCACACGATTTTATTTCAAATATAATCATGTACCAATAATAATTAAACTTCTGTTTACATGGTAACAGTTTAATTACTCAGTCTACACAAAAAGTGATCTAAAGAATTATTATTCAAATTAGTTTATACAATTGATTTTCCTACAGATTACAAACGATAATATTACGTTTTTATATATAATAGAAACAACCAAACGGTGACACAAAAGGTAGTTTTGACAGATGATGACATGGCATAATATAATATATGTAAAGGTTTATCAAAATTTGAAAGAGCGTTTTCACAAAGGTTTACAGTCGAATATATAAAAGGTATTAGATGTCTAATAATATTTGTAATAATATTAGTGATTCAAAGTAGGTGGTTTCCATGTCCGACTCGGTAGCTTGGTTTCAGCTTTGGTTCAATGACAGATCCCTAAATATTATATGCAAATATTTAGGATCGGATACTGATCGAAATTTGTATTATTAGTTAGATGGAAAACAACGCCGATCATAAAACTTGCGTTTCCACCAAAACTTACAGTAAGCGGATAATACTTTTGTTACAACTAAACAAAAACGACTGAATAAATTTTTTTCAATATACGAAATTCAATCCAGAAAGTAACACATAAAGCACAAATATCTAAATTATAAGTCAGTACAGACTTTATAGGCAAATATAACAGTTGCGAGAAATCCGATTAACAGAACTGCCTATTTTAGCATGGAGAAAAGTAGCAAACGGGTTGAGCCATATTTACACAGACAGAGCAAACAAATACTTCAAAGATATGATATAAAATTATACTTCAGAACCAACGTTATTGTTAATTCTACATAAGTGAGAGTATAGCAACTCTCCTACGGTCAGTTTTGTTTGTGGGTAATTTTGTTGAGCCCTTTAACTAACTTATTTGATAGACAACGTTATTCTAACAGTAACAATTCGTCTATCTCCTTGTTTTATTATGATCATGTCTGTATAAAAGTGTACGCTTGATCACATAGCAGACTCTAGCTAAAGTGTTGATAGTTTAAATACCTCTCGATGATTCATTCTCTTCCCCATGTATATATGTACTCGAATCCTATAATTAGCCTTTGCCTTGCCTAGCTGTGCCTAATTTGATTTCACTATAAATTTGCCTATGTATTGTCTCGCAAACATATACTAACCTCTATGCTTCAAATTCGCTTGATGTGCTCATAACTTTGTCAATTGTGTTATCCGTTAATAAACTGTGGTCGCCGCTACTTATTGCCATCTGATTTCAAACACCGTTGAGGATTTATATGCTAACAGTTATCAAAATGATTGATTAACGAAGCTAAGTTACTACGATAGTTAAGAATATGGTATCATGTGAAGAGAAAGACATTATGCATATGAAATAAAGTATACCGTAATGTTTTACATGTAGGAGGGACACTCAAACAACTGGATGTAATAACGAAAGAAAACGATGTTTGAAACATTCCTATATGCTCATAAAACCTCAGCAAACTTAAGAACAGATTTAACAAAAGTTGGACAGAAAATTGTTTCGGTGAAATGAAAGTGCTTTGGAAAAAGTTTTCACGGTTTAACAAGAAAGGCTGCTAGTCAAGGTCCTATCATATGAACGAACTCAAACATTTTAAATAGAAGAGATGAAGTGCAACTAATTGCAACATGATAATTACTGACCAGTCAATAAAAAAGAGAGGTATAACAGTGTCTTCAATTGCTGCATCAATCTACACCTCAAGCAACGTGAACAGCAACAACATACATTCAACTATCATGACTAGATGCTTTTGACTTCTTTTGAGTAACATGAATAAGACGAATATAATTGTTTATCCTCCGATCAATACATTCTGAGGACAATTTACTACTATCCAGTTTTAAATTCAATTTGAAATAGTTTTAATTATCCCTTTGTTGATATTCTGACTGAAATTTAATCATTCTTGGCTTGGAATAAGTGTATCTTGTGCGGATTGTCCCGATATAGTCGTTATGACACAAGTCAATGTGAAATAGATAGAATGTAGCTAGGAGTGGAATCCATAATGCGTGCTTCGCCTTATTTGGGTCTCATCACATGAATGTACCTGCATTTCAGAGTTGATATTCACTCCAGGAGTTGATGCACAAGACTTCGTACAGGATCCATACATACCAAACCAAGAACGATCGAATTTCAGTCCAAATATCAACAGAGATAATCCAAACTATTTCAAATTGAATTAAAACTCATACCCGTTACACAAGTGATTGGCTATCTGTAATGACATTTGAAGCAAACAGTAGTGAGTTTAAATTTCACAGTAAACATCAACTCCGGGGTGCAGGTACATCCAGTTGACAAGTTCTGAAGAGGATGGAACGTACTTCTTGAATTCTACTACTAGCCATATTCCACTTATTCTACATTATCTAATTTTAGTTCTATAGACGATGAGGATAACTAATATCACTTTGTTCATAGTTGAGGGATACAGATAACTAGTGCATTTAGATAAGAATAGTATATACTTATATACATAGCGTCATATGCTGAAATTAGAACAAATTTAACATCTAATGACTCACATACACGCTATAAACTACTAAATTCAGAGTGTGAATATTGAATAAATAATTGTTTATTAAGATTTGTTTTGACCGTACTTATATTAGATAATTTATTGATTATTTGGAAATATTATGCTCGAAATAAGCTGATGGGTGGAATGTTGCAATTACTTTATTTCGATCGCCGGGGTTTTCATAGATATAACCTGATAATAAAACTTGTTTTGCCATTATTATTATTATTATTATTATTATTATTATTATTATTATTATTATTATTATTATTATTATTATTATTATTATTATTATTATTACTTAAGTATTACCACTTTGATAATCGGGAAACACAAAGACGAATTTTATCAGAATTATGTAATATATTTGCGCAATACATTTCAAACAATTTGATCACACTTCTATACTTGTTAAAACATTTTTATATGAAAATTAAAAGGTCAACTAAACAGGTTAGAGATAAGCCATGACAAAGAAAAGAAAATATTAAAGTACACAAAAACAATATGATTACCACTCTAGATAGGGTAGGTTAAGTGTAAGGACAAATTGTTTTTGAATAGACAAATTATGTAAATACTTATTACCAGTAATTTCTCATTGAGCTTAAGATTATAAATATTTAATAAGATTAGTTTAACGGTTACGGTTAGTAGAATGTGAGGATAATAATGGTGACAATATAAAATAACAAAGACTTGCAAGCATGAGAAAATCCATAGAATCTATGAGATTGTATAAGTGGATGGTTAAAGATGATATGTATCGAGATTGATTATTGAGGACTTTAAAATCCTTCTTCTAAAGAAAATCATAATATTTTGGAAGTGGTTAACAAGTTTTATTTCTAGCTTCTCTAAGCTAATTGAATTTTATTTTCCTTGGTTGATTCAGTGTTTTTCTTTCTGTAATAAATGTACGGTAACCTGAGTTATCAAACTAATGTACCAGCTTCTAAATAAGATGATTTCAGTATTTTATGTGCTTGTACTTAACCACTGTAATATTATTTTATGTAAATGGAAATTTTTTCAAGTAATTGACGAAAAACGATAGAGTTTATAATTTAAATTAAAATTTATCACATTTATTTTGTGTAATATTTGAAATTTATCATGAATTTAGGTATGCTAATGATGTGAAACGAAATGTTTTATTCTGCTGAACTATCTATTGGGAATATGTTCGAATAGGTAGAATATTAAAAGGTTAAATATTCACAGAACTTACCCAATGACATACTAGTGCATAGAGTCAAATATGACACCTTTTTTACACCAGCATACTTGGAGGCTTGATCTTTACACGCATACATTATATAGGCAGACAGGGTTAAAGGGATAATTGAGCCGACTGCACGACAACTAGGGCAGCTATCACCGATTGTAGTTAACTTTCTCAAATCGTCTATAACGCCACCTTCAACTGTTGATTCGCTCATGATTCTGTAGTAAAAGAACGAACAAAAAAATGCAGGAGAAATTTAAATGAGAATAAATACAAGTGATTCAATTTTGATATAGTCCATTCTGGTGAAAATATTCGAATGATAGAAATTCTACGAGCTCAAAAGTTCTCTCCAACAATTAGGTCACTACCTACTTAAATATGTTTTTTAAAAAAACACTAGAAACGTGATAGCTATTGTCGATTTCGCGCATAAGATCTTTTATCTTAAAATATACACTAATACCGATTTATGTTATATATAAAGGTACATTCTAATGTAAGGAATGTTTTTCATCAAATTGAACGTTGATCCATAGGACAGTTAAAATATCTTCAAAGGCATTTTAGGCTGCGAAGAAAAATATTTCATTTAGAATCTAAATATTACGAAAGAAATAATCCTATTTCGTACACTTTAATGAGTAACCAAACAATTTTAAAAGTCAAGACATTTCGAAATTTTTATGCAGAATAATTGTGTGAGTTGTAATTTGCTAAAATGTCGGTTTCATTGTCTGATGATCAGAAGTAATCAAGTTCTCCTGATACGTTCAGTTATCTTATTAGACTGGAACAGTTCGTAAATCAGTGATAGTAGGCATAGACCGGTTCATGATTTCAATGAAATCCAATAATCTCCACAACCCCATACTAAAAATATTAATCTAAATTAATTTGTGACAAAAAGATTCATTCAAATCCATCAGTATATCGGAACTAAACAGAGATTTACGAAATATTTCTTTAATGTTTCGTCAGTAGGTGTGTAGTTCAGCTTACACTGAAAGTTGGAGAGCACATGTTTCTATTTAACTTTACTGTGACTAGTACACACAATAAGATGTGATTTTGAATTATGAATACAATACTGAGTCAATTAATTGCAACATTAGATAAATAAATCAGTTTGTTTTTTAATGAAACGTTCTTATCTTAATCATATGATTCTGCATGTTGATGAGTTGTCACATACGAACACGTTGTTTTGACAGATTTTTTAAGTTTATTAATGTCACGTTATTATTATTATCAGTACTATTGTGAAAAAGGGAACTGGAACTGAAATGATGTTGATGACTGCAAATCGAATGTGGTGGTTGGAAGTCCTAGTACGAGTGAAATTCAGTGGATCTGATCTCGCGCCTCTCCATCTAACAGGGTAAATTAATTAATTTCCAATTTTTTGTCAAACATGGTATATTTTGAAAGAGGATATATTTAAGCTATTAACGGAAAGTTAGATAAATGCCTAGAATACACACAAAAGGTAATTTGTCTTGAGTACAATTGTTATTACATTACATAGGTAGTCAAAGTGTAAAATACTAAAAAACTAAGATGTCATAAGATTCTGATATCTCCCAGAACCAGACAAGTTAGCTATAAACCAGCCCAGGTGAGAAAGATACTTAAGAACTGTTTGGGTCAGAGCTGGGAAAAGTATAGCTAGTCAGGATTTTACATAACCAATGAAATCAATAAGAGCTAAGATAAAAAAAGCGAACAGGACTAAAGTTATTTGAAATTTTAAAGAAACACTAATTGATATCAACATTTTAGGAAACGTTTTACTAAATGTGTTAGATATTAGTTCAAGTTTATCAATATTAGGTGGATTATAATTATTTTAGTAAATTATATCTTTGGTTAAGGTGTATCATAACTTTTTGGAGATATCAAAGTTCTTGGGCCATATTTCAACTTTCTGAATGCTTCATTTTCTTTTGATATTTAGGCAGCTAATTATGACGTTTACATGAAACCACTGGACCTGAAATCTAGCAAAAGCCCAAATGGACTCTGCAAACCAGGTGTTAAGTGAACTCGATTATTCTTTGACATAGGATATCTGTCACAATCTGAAATATTTTGTATAAAAGTTCGCTTTTTGGCGACTAATTATTTACTAAATAGTTTAATTAAAATATCTGAAACCTAAGGTCTAAACTAAAGATAGATATCCGGTACAATAAAGTTCCCAGAAACCTACAAAATACACCTTGTTAACATTCTTACTTCATAAGACTACAGTGTATGTTTTAAATTGACCACTCTCTCAAACAATGTGAATGAACTATATTGTAATACCAGTATCCTATAGCTCACTAGTGATAACTATTGAACCTTTTAATAAATCAAAACAAACAAAAGAGTGAATTAATCCAGTGGTTATAAAGTGCAATATATTCCCTGTTATAAATAAATATATATATATATATATATATATATATATAACAATCTACCCGATGCTCAATTTATTTGAAATATCAAGCCAAACCTTAGTAATGAAACCTAGATTCCCTGTTAGTTTATCTGTACTCTTTTATTATTCTTACCCTATGAGGCGATTTAGCAGGAGTTAGAGTACAGATGTAAAGGTTAGAAAATTCAAGAAATCAATTAAACATTGGTCTGAAATAACAATAGCAACATAATAATTGTAATGACAAATCAGAAGAGAAAGTGTGATTTATAAATCATGTAATAATTACATGAAGTAGGTTATATAATTAGATCTTTATATACACATTAATTATATGAAATCAACAAAACAAAAACAACGTAATAACATTAAAAAGTGACAGTAGTATTTATAACGAATTTTTTCAACCAATAATGATGATCAATAACAAGCCAAATCAGTAAGTTTAATTTATTTGGTATGTAGATTCATTCAAGAATAAATACTTATCTTGGTTTCGTATAAATCATGATAGAATTGTTAAACAATGAAAACAAAACCAAAAAAACAAACATCATAGAATTAGGATACTATAGAAACTATTTTATATTAAATAGAAAGGTAAAATGAGTTTGAAAAACAAAACAATTGTCACAAATCTTTTCAACATATAATATGCTGAACAATCAAAACATATAAATGAGAAAAATTACAACAATATGCATAGTTAAAAACTAATCATTAGAATTGACTATTCGTTATATATATTTCAACAATAAAAATATGTATAAGAATGAATGTTAGGATAATGAATAACCAATTATCAATAAGTTCCATTTATTAAGCTATAAAATGTGAATTAGAAGAAACAATGTAATTATCGCACAGAGTAGTAGTAGTAGTATTAGATTTTTGCAACTGATGAGGAACCATAATGTTGATGATGTTTATGAGAAAAAGAAACAATAAAAGAATGACCTTAACATCTGCATCTGTCTTGATTTTCTTGTTCTTCAGTTCCCAAACGAATACTATCAGGATAGTCAGAGTGTAGATTTGTCTGTAAAGAAAAAAATCGCATCAATATTAAAAGTTAATAAAAATATAGCGTTTTAGTGAAAATAAACGTTGAAACAAAGCAAAAATGCGGTTTTGATTTGAATGTATCAAATGTTTTGTCATAGATCTAAAAGAATCAAATAGACTACAATAAAGTTTTATTCACTGATTTTTGTCAGATAACTTTTGTTGACAATACATCTATACTACATAGCGCTAAAATAAGTTTCTATAACAATACTGAAGGAAATGACAATCCATATTTTGATTAAACTGGTTGAATAGCACATATTAACAACTTATTACAATTATATAGTGCAGATACGATTGAATTGTACAGAAAAAAGAATTTAAGCGATTTTAATTATCTTGAATAAGATGAAAACACGCTACATGTACTTTATGGCTTCTGAAATAAATAAAATCAATTCCCAAGTAAATTGTCCCTTACATGAACTGGACTACAATGTATATGTCCACAAGGATGATAATAAAATTAGTAGTAGAAATAGCCAATGTTTATGAGTATCAATATTAAATTTCGTTAAAAACTTGACTTAGTGGCTTCATATATCAGATTATCAACATATAACTACTGGACAGTGATAGAGCTGGAAGAAAAAGTTCTTGAGATATGTACATACATTTTGAAAGAGATGTCTACGTTCGAATGTACTTATTAAAAATTCAGCTGGAAGACCTGTTTAACCTATGTTTGGAGTAGAAAGTGTTAGGTATGTTGAGATTTCATTAGCCCCAAAACCTTAGTATTAATGAAACTTATGCAATAATTGAAATGCCTAAAAAGCTCAGCTACTTTAGGTATTGATGTAGACCAGTAATTGAAGCAGCGTTCCGTATTTACAGGGAAGGAAATGTTTTCTGAATGCATTTAGTCGACCATCGTCTCCTGTTGGGAGATGAATTAATGAAGTTAGATAGGAAATTATTATCTCTAAAAGTATGTGCATAACAGAACTAAGCAAAAGTGAAGAGTATGGGCAGTCCAGTTAAGTTTCGCCTGATATAACTGGTTCAGAACAATTTGGTGTTCTTAAACTCATCAATAGTATTCAATTACAACATCTTCACTAGACATATTTTTGCTGCGCGTTTCCATTACCGTCAGTCAGAATCGAATGCATTCTTAGTTAAAAGAATACGACTACGGCCAGGTATCGGTAAGTATGCCTACAATTCAAAACCGATCAATTAGGGCATATTTGACGCAAAATTTAGTGGTCATGATTTAAACCCATTTCCTCATCTCAGGTTTGTTGTTATTAAGTTCTAGTAAGGTGTAGGATTACTACAGAAGCTAATATTTAATAAATTATGGTGATGGGTTAGATGGCAGGGAAGTTATGTAACCTAATAAAAAAAAGATTGGTCAGTGGTCAAATGCCCAAGTATATGTGGGACAGTTTGTTTCACAGTGCGAATTAAAAAGGGAGTCTAAATTAGTGATTAAATATATAATTAACAGTTATTAATCAGTTGCATTAACACAAATGGGTTTATTCTACATTTAACAGATAGTGGGATATTTCTACTTTCCTAAGGGAGTTTATTTATCTTACTCGGTTTCCTTCTTGATTTCTTGTGACATGGTAGTTTGATATGCAATCAACTTAGTCGATACATTATATCACATCTCAGTTTGACGTTTTAGATAATCTGTCAGATTAATGGCAAGTGCGACTGACATAGTTGGTGATACAAAATCCAAACCTTTTTAAGAAATGGATACGACAAATG